TGCTCCTGCACGCCCCACACTGGGGATCAAGCTGCAACCCAGGCATGTGCCCTGCCCGGGAATCGAACTGGTGACCTCCTGGTGCCTGGGTTGACGCTCAACCAACTGAGCCGCGCTGGCCGGACAGATTTCTGTCTTATAAGGATGCCGGTCACGGTGGATGTGGGCCCACCCTGGTGACCGCATGTCAGCTTGGTGACCTCTGTGAAGACCTGCCTCCACACAAGGTCACATTCTGGGTGCGGGGGGTTAGGACTCCAACATATGGATTTGGGGGGACACAATGCATCCCATAGCAAGATGGTGACCGTTTGAGCGGAAAGGGGTTTGGGACAGAGATAGCGTGGGCTACATGCGTGACGTTGCCGCGGGTTCTGCAGGAGGAGGGGGGCTTCCCCGCAGCCTTGCCTCCCGGCCTTGGGGAGCCGTTCCATGTGAGCGGCACTGAGTTAATTTGAAAATAGGTCAACGGGATGTGAGGTCATTTGAATTCTCGGGCATTTTAAAGGAAGCCTTCCCTTTCCCGCCTGCCCAGAATTGGCTGTGCTCATCAATTTCATTTGCATAATTTCAAGCATCATTAACAGGACATGGCACGAGGAAAAATTACCAGGCTCTTCCTCCACCCATGAGTGAGATCGGGTTGAGTGGGAAATTAGCTGACTTAACTGGCAGATGATGGGCCTGGAGAGGAGGATGTCTAAGGAAGTGGGCACGGAGCGGAAATGGCTGTCACGCTCGCGGCCCCAATGGAAATCGGCGTCCTGCCTTTTTGTCGCTCCATGTTTGTCCAGGGGAAGTCCCGGCGGGGGTCCCCAGAGAATGACGAAGGCAGGGACCCCGTCCCCCCCAGCCCGGCTTGACTGAGCCGCCTCCGGCTAAACTGTCTGAGGAGCCAGCCAGGGCCACGCCTGGGGCTTGAACCCACTCTGATGTGGCCGTGACCGGCTCACCAGGCCGGAACCAGGCCGCACGAGCCAGCCCCAAGCAGCCGCCGGGCGCCGGGCGGCCGTTCTCTGAGGGCGGGAGGAGAGGAAAGCTGGGGAAGACCTTGAATTTGGGCTCAGACCAGGTTGCATTAGAGGTGCCCACGTGGAGGCGGCTGGGTGATGGGCCCAGGACTTAGAATGGAATTCAAGTGTCGGTGAAATTGCCGAGGGATAGGAAAAACCTAAAGAAACGGCAGCATTTCAGGGCCTCGTTGGTGATCCCACCCGCTTCCCAAAGTAGCTCGTTCGATGCCCAGTTAGCCCCCCGGCCACTTGGGGAGAGGCAGTGGCCTGCTGTCCTCACGGCCGTGGGAGAGAGCCGGGCAGTGCCCTGGTGCTCAGGGGGCCTGGGCTGGGGCAGAGGGTCCGCCGTGGGCTCCCAAAATGAGACAGATCCGGCCTCGGCGTGTGAGCACACTTTGTAAGAAGGCTTTTCCATGAGGTCCTTCCCACAGCGGAGGGAGGGCGATGACTCGTTTGTCCCAGAATTGGAGCGCTGCCTGGAGAGGTTATTTCCAGCCTCGGACCACAGGCCCAGGGAGAAATAAACCCGAAGAATTTTAGCCGGGAGAGGTCCGGGGGGATCCGCCCGAGCACAGTGTGGGGGAGGAGGCGGACACGGGACATTCGGGGTCGGTCAAGGCCGCCAGCAGGTCCGCGCTGGCCCTTGGGCCCAGGAATTCTTCTCACGGGTCCCCCAAGGGGCTCCGGGGGTTCTCATGCGCCTTCCAGCGAGGCTTCTGGACCACAGAACGGGGGGGCAGGGGAGGGGGGCAACTGCA